ACTCAGCCCCCCCACCCACCGCTCTCCCCTGTGGGGGGCAGGAGGCAGAAGCTTGGTCCTGTGGCAGCCAAGCTTCCCCCTCCCCTGCTTCTTCCCCCAGCGTGGCGCTTTCCGGCCCCTCTGCCCCTCCTCCTCCTCCTCTCACTGGGCATGCAGCGTGCCACTCAAAATCGGCTCGCGTGCCGTGTTTGGCACGCGTGCCGTAGGTTCCCGACCCCTGCGGTAGATCAACAGATCCTGCACTCAAACCCTGGGTAAAGGGAGTGGGAGCAAGGACTCAGATTCTTTCACAAGCCCATTTCACCGGGGTATTGTATATGCCAGGAAAGTTCCCCACAATAGCAGGACTATTCCCCTGCTTACACTTGAACTGTGTGCAGAGTTTGCCCTCGCCCTGCGGCGCAAGTACACCAAAATGAGACAGCCCTAATGGTGCAAAAGTGAGTGGCAATCACTTTGTGGAAGCTGGCAACTCCCAGACTGTTACTGGTGGGGGTTACGGTGATGCAAGTGTGCCAAGCCATTAATCACCTCCTGCTATAAAGGAATGTGATTCTAAGAAACGTGCGGGAAATAGTGGATAGTTTTGCAGCCATAAGATTTCAAGAACATAAGAATGGCCATACTGGGTCAGACCAAAGGTCCATCCAGCCCAGTATCCTGACTACCGACAAAAAGAACAGGAGTACTTGTGGCACCTTAGAGACTAACAAATTTATTTGAGCATAAGCTTTCGTGGGCTACAGTCCACTTCATCAGATGCATGTAGTGGAAAATACAGTAGAAAGATATATATATATATATATACACACAGAGAACATGAAAGCTTATGCTTAAATAAATTTGTTAGTCTCTAAGGTGCCACAAGTACTCCTGGTCTTTTTGCGGATACAAACTAACATGGCTGCTTCTCTGAAACCTGTCTACTGACAGTGGCCAATGCCAGATGCATCAGAAGGAGTGAACCTAACCGGTAATGATCAATTGATCTCTCTCCTGCCATCCATCTTCACCCTCTGACAAACAGAGGCTAGGGACACCATTCCTTACCCATCCTGGCTAATAGCTATTAATGGACTTAACCTCCATGAATTTATCTAGTTCTCTTTTAAACCCTGATATAGTCCTAGCCTTCACAACCTCCTCAGGCAAGGAGTTCCACAGGTTGACTGTGCGCTGTGTGAAGAAGAACTGCCTTTTATTTGTTTTAAACCTGCTGCCCATTAATTTCATTTGGTGGCCCCTAGTTCTTATATTATAGGAACGAGTAAATAACTTTTCCTTATTCGCTGCACACTGCGTGGAACTCTTCAGAGAACTATCCACGATGACTCCAAGATCTCCTTCCTGATTAGTCGTAGCTAAATTAGCCCCCATCATATTGTATGTATAGTTGGGGATATTTTTTCCAATGTGCATTACTTTACATTTATCCACATTAAATTTCATTTGCCATTTTGTTGCCTAATCACTTAGTTTTGTGAGATCTTTTTGAAGTTCTTCACAGTCTGCTTTGGTCTTAACTATCTTGAGCAGTTTAGTATCATCTGCAAACTTTGCCACCTCACTGTTTACCCCTTTCTCCAGATCATTTATGAATAAGTTGAAAAGGATTGGTCCTAGGTCTGACCCTTGGGAAACACCACTAGTTATCCCTCTCCATTCTGAAAATTTACCATTTATTCCTACCCTTTGTTCCCTGTCTTTTAACCAGTTCTCAATCCATGAAAGGATCTTCCCTCTTATCCCATGACAATTTAATTTACGTAAGAGCCTTTGGTGAGGGTGGGACGATGAATGTCACGCATATCCCAATTTTGGCCCTAGACCATCTCGTGACGGAATACATCAACAGAAAAGGCTATTTCTCTATGACATCACAGGTGCTGGTGGATCACCAGGGTCGTTTCACTGACATCAATATGGTGGTCAGGGAAGGTGCATGACACATGCATCTTCAGGAACACTAGCTTGTATAGAAAGCTGCATGCAGGGACTTTCTTTCCAGACCAGAAGTGGAAATGCCCATAGTGATCCTGGGAGACCCACCTACCCCTTACTCCCGTGGTTCATGACGCCATACACCAGAAACCTTGACAGCAGCAAGGAGCACTTCAACAAGAGGCTCAGCAGGTGCAGAATGACCACAGAATGTGCATTTGGAAGATTAAAGGGTCGCTGGCACTGCCTTTTTGGCAGATTAGACCTCAGTGAGGAAAATATTCCCTTGGTCATAGCAGCCTGTTGTGCTCTGCATAATATTTGTGAGTAAACGAGGAAAAGTTTCCCCAGGGGTGGATCATTTAGGTGGATAGCCTGTTAGCTAATTTTGAGCAGCCAGACACCAGGGCTTTTAGAGGGGCTGAACGGGGTGCTATATGAAGCAGCATTTTGATAATGAGCCCCAGTAATTAGTCTTTCTGTAATGAACTGAGCCAAGCATTGTTTACTTGCCACCTTGGATAGCCCCTGTAATAATTCCTGCCTGAGCGTTAACTGTAGCCTGCAAATATGCCGATTGCCACTGTGTATGAATTTCTGTTTCATCCACTTCTGTAGGTTATACATAAAGAATCACTGTCTTTGTAAGACAAAATTTTTATTAAACAGCAATACACAGATGAACATTTCTTATAAGGGACACAAGGATCTCACAGCTGCATGTCAGTCCAGCTGTCATTATGGAAAATGTCCCTAGGGATGGAGTGCAAGGAGTACTGTGAAGGGCTGGGAACATGAGAGGAATGGGGGAGAGGGGCAAGGAAGGCAGTTCTGTATGGGCTGTAGGAGGAGTTGAGCACACATGTGTTCTGCCTGCAGCACAATCAGGGACCACAGCATCTCTGTTTGGTCCTGCATGAGCTTTATTAACCTGCTCCTGAGTCTGTCTCCTCTTCTGGCTATCCATTTCTAGTTTCTCATTTATGGTCTCTCTCCATGCTCTGTGCTCGCTCTTGGCCTGATCTGAAGATTGCAGCAATTCACGAAACATGTCCTCCTTACTCCTCCTCAATCGCCTCCTTATCTGACGGAGGCACTCCACCAGCATGTAGGAGCTGGCCCTCAAGGGCACATCTGCAGAAGCAAAGGAAACAATATACAGAATCAGAATTGTGTGTGCATTCAGTCTTGAATCATAAAAGTTATGCACCTCTTTCTCACTTTCCCTTGGTAAGCATGCAGCATGGCCAGAGCACTAAACACAATTAGTTTGGCTTGGGGGGACTGGGAGTGGGGATTGCAAAACGGGACCAAGGGTCTAGGTGGTTTGAGAAGGGGATCAATACAAGTGCCTGGGGACATTATTCTGAATACTAGCACCATTTTCCACAGGTGGTGGTGATCAAACCTGAAGTCACACTACTGAGGGTAACCGAAGATCCAAGGACACATCTCCTGCATGCGTGTGGCTTCAGATCAGGTCCGTATGCTGCTCGCTTGTGTGCTGCTTTGGTTCCTCCAGAAGTAATTGCCGATTGGCATGGCAAAGTTTCCTAAAATGGGGAAGAAAGAAAGCAGCTCTGTGAAGGAACCTTTGGCAGAGGATTGCAGACTATTTACAAGAAAGTTTCCTAGAGATTTCTATGGAGAATTCCTGGGAGATCTTGGTGTGCATTAACAAACTTTTCCGCTGGGCCCCCACTGCGTAGCTGCACAGAGGAATGTGAAGCAGATGCAAACAGTACCTAGTGTTGTTAATGTAGATCCCTTGTCTCACGTGCACCATGTAACAAAATAAAGGATACCTCTACCTCATGTAAGCATGCAGTATCAAAGCAAAATGAGTACTTGATGGAGCTCCCCTCTCCTGCTTCTGGCATGCCAGAGATGGACTGCTGGGACTGGTTAGACCTCTCCAGAGTCAAAAAGAGATCCTGGCTTGCCATGCCACCAGATGAGCCTGTTACCTGTCCCACATCCTCCTCCAACTCGACCTCATTGTCCACCACTTCGTCCTTGAGATTGACTCTGCTGGCTGTTGCCTTCAGTCCCCCTGAAGTATCCATGGGGATTTTGGTAGTGGAGGTGGGGTCATAGCTGAAAATGGCATGCAGCTCCTTGTAGAAGCGGCATGTTTTTGACATTGCACCAGAGTAATGGTTGGCTTCCCTTGCCTTCTGGTACACTTGCCTCAGCTCTGTGATCTTAGCACGGCACTGCTTCATCCCTTTCATGTTCCTTCTCATCCATGCCATGAGCAATCGGCTTGTAGGTGTCAAAGTTCCTACAGTTGGATAGGCACTGTGTCATAAACACACAGCTAAGGGTAGCATAAAATCCCTCCTTTACCTGTAAAGGGTTAAGAAGCTCAGATAACCAGGTTGGCACCTGACCAAAAGGACCAATAAGGGGAGAAGATTGGCATGGCAAAGGCTTTAAGGGGGGTAGGAGCGCCTATCTGTGTATCTGGATGCAGGGCAGCAGAGTAGAAACTGCTTAACAGAGTGGTCATGATGGGCATTGTGGGACACCTCCTGGAGGCGACATAAGCAAACACAGTGTCTACACTGGCACTGTGTCGCTCTAACTTTGTTGCAAAAAGCTCTATGCCGCTTGCCAAAGGGGTTTTATTTTGTTGGTGTAGCAAAAGAATTACATCAGTGGGAGGACCATTGTTGTGTGTACACCTCCACTGTTTTGTTGACAAAACTGTATAGTGTAGACAAGGCCTTATTTTAAAGATATGATATTGCTAAGGTAAAAAACAAGCAGGAAAATAATAACATCTGCAGCAACGATAATTACAATAATGACAAACACCCAAACATTTTATACATCATAAAAAAGAAAAACTGGCATCAAAAATCATTTAAAAATAAAAGAAGATTTTGCGCCAAAAATATCTTTATATAGAATTCAGAACGAACGGCAAACGGTAATCTAATAAAAGCCCAATGAATGCCAACAAAACTAACAGTTTCCAAACCACATTCAAATATATTTTTGATCAGATGCAGACACAGCAAACATAAAACCAGCACTGAAACAATAGATTAGCTGGAGTGCACTGTAACCAACCACTATAGTTCAGGTTGCTGGAGTGTGCCCGTTCCAATCCCTTTCCAGTTACTTATAACCAGTATTGCCAACCCCAAGCACGAACCTGACATCCCAAAATTATGAGACCTGCTAAAAAAATCATATTTTAAACATCCATGCTCCATGTGGGGTTCTTTTCATCTGCCGCCTGGTTTGTGAGCATTTGGGGTTCGCATCTTCAAAGTTTTCTCTGCAGCTACTGGGGCTAGAGCAGTCCGGGCTGCCAACAGGCAAGGGGAGGTTCTCCTCACCACGAGCAGGACTTTAACTAAAGCACCAGAAACACGCCGGATAAGTGTGTTGAATCCCACCCGTGGGCGCCCAGCTCGCGGCGAGGCGGGCTTGGCGACGCTGCGCTGGCTGGTTTCCCCGCAGCGCCAGGC